ACACCATCACAACCACAACTACTACAATAGCAGGAAAATTCGCATTATCTTGTTTAGCGCGCCACTCTGTAAAGCAGATTTAGCTCGAGTTTGCTTGTCTACTTAGGAGCTGCGCCCTTTGCCTTTCTGGCTTGAGCGCTAGCCTAAACCTTATAGCTATCTGTATAAGCGAGCTTACATGCTGCTTTTCAGGGAATCTATTTATGCGAGCTTACATGTTTAGCCAAGACCTACCGATATGCGCCAGATGGAGATGAACTTGTACTTAGTTATTTATACCACATTTCCCGTAGGCGTAGCCTGTTATGATATTTGACGGTAGATGATAGTTTGAGTAGATTCAGCAGCAGTAAGGTAATGGCACACCCCATAGACCGCCGCATCTGGATTGCTAAAATCCTTAGACAGAAAAAAATGACCGCGGTCAGATTTGTCCATCACCGTCGGATTTAATCAAAGCCATCGAATCCAACATCGCCTCTTCAAGTTGTGCAATAGCCCATCAGTCAACTCCAAACACTTTCATACTGTTGAACTCGGTCACTCCGTCACTTTCCAAGCCTCATTTACATCAGCATATGAAAGGCCAGGAACTTGTACGGCCGGGCGGAGGGTGATTAGTAGAGAGACACACAAACCAACATACAGCATCAACATGTGACATGACCAAGGCTGAAGAAAAAGCTCAATATTGATCATCAAATCAACATGTGTCGGCTATTCGGGATCGAGGTGCAATTAATCAATCCACCCAAGAAGACCGAAAGCGGATACATAAAGCTCTAACGTCGCTCGAGGACAGGCCGAAGATGAATTAGCATTACCAGGTAGCCAATTGCAATTAACAAAGAAGATTTTTACTCTTGAATCTTTAGTGGTTCATCTTCATCGGCCTAGTTTTTCTTCTTCAGAGTAATCAGATCTAGCGACTCATCAGGATGGTCCCAACTCACGTCTATCTGGCGGAGACGCAGTCCCTTTCCTGCAGCGCCAGCGTTCGTTTCTTCCGTCGCTTCCTCTGGAGGCAGAACGTCGAATAGGAAGCTCAAATTCAATTTTAAAGAATGAGAAACAAAGCGAAGACCCCGGAAAACCAGATTGATGTCAGCAGGCGATCCTCCTTCTTCGTGGGCTCCTGGCGTGACTTTCTCGACGTAGGAGGTGAGTAAATGGGGCTCGCCAGCGCCAAAAACAGCAGGCCTCCCATCTGGTCCGTCATGATGACGTTTGGAGAAGTGCTCTTTGACTCTGCATAACGTCTCTTCGAGGGTTAGTTCTTCTCTTGGGTTGAACAACCCGGTAAATCGATCTGTCAGGTCCACCGTATTTTCATCTGTCAAAGGAGTTATATTAACTGTCGTCTGTGCAGTAACATGCCACGGAGACGGCCTCTGTTTTCCGATTTCGCGCATTTCTTGCAGCCCCGTCTTCGTCATCGTACCCATTCGACGAAAGAGCTCGTTCTCTTGGCGGACAAAAAAAAAGAAGCTGATCAACCACAGCGGTTGGCGTACTCGACATGACCCGCGTAAGCAATTCAGTAGCAGCAGTGTTCGTCGTTGGTACTCTCTCCCGCGGGGGGCCATCATCCCTTGCGGTGGAAGACAGAAGCGTGTCCTTCAGATAGAGATCATTCAAATTATCTGCCATGTTGTCACTCAGAAGACCAATGTCGCTAGAGACGATGATCCACGCAGCTCTGCGCCTGTCTTCATCCTTTTTTGATGCCTTCCTTCAACATCCTACTTCATTTATCTCAGGAACAAGAGCTGGGTCATCGTTTGTAGTGATCTTCGTTTGCAGTACTTATTTTATCTCAAGATGCCATCGTTTGCAGTGATCTTCTTCAGCCGAGCACAAGCAGGTCCAGCACTTAATATTAAGAGCAATAAAACTGCGCAAACACTTCCCCTCCGAAACCTCAACCTCCAACACCCAAACCCACAACCTCCGACACAAAAACAAACAAACAAACCCCAAACCCATGAACCCAGGAAGAACCCAGGAACCCAGGAAACCAGGAGACCAAGAAACCAAGAAACCAGGAAACCAGGAAACCAGGAAACCAGGAAACCAGGAAACCAGGAAACCAGGAAACCAGGAAACCAGGA